CTCTTCAAGTGTGAACGCAACAAACCAAGTAATTACGGTACTGCGAGTGTTCACACTAGGGGCGATACCGTAATTACTTGGTTTGTTGATACTGCGAGTGTTCACACTAGGGGCGGTACCGTAATTAACCAACTCTTCAAGTGTGAACGCAACAAACCAAGTAATTACGGTACCGCCCCTAGTGTGAACACTCGCAGTATATAAACAACCTCGTCCTGCTTGAATTGGTTGTTGTACCGTAATTACTTTGTTTGTTGCGTTCACACTTAAAGAGTTGGTTAATTACGGTACCGCCCCTAGTGTGAACACTCGCAGTATATAAACAACCTCGTCCTGCTTGAATTGGTTTACAGGACGAGGTTGTTTATATACTGCGAGTGTTCACACTAGGGGCGGTACCGTAATTAACCAACTCTTCAAGTGTGAACGCAACAAACCAAGTAATTACGGTACCGCCCCTAGTGTGAACACTCGCAGTAGGTACCGCCCCTAGTGTGAACACTCGCAGTATATAAACAACTTCGTCCTGCTTGAATTGTACCGTAATTAACCAACTCTTCAAGTGTGAACGCAACAAACCAAGTAATTACGGTACCGCCCCTAGTGTGAACACTCGCAGTATATATATATTCGTAAGCTATACCGTAATTAACCAACTCTTCAAGTGTGAACGCAACAAACCAAGTAATTACGGTACCGCCCCTAGTGTGAACACTCGCAGTATATATATATTCGTAAGCTAACGGTCGGCTAAGAGGACTTAAGGGCAAGCAGATCAGGAAGCCCCCTTTCATCACTCAATTGATAAACAGCAGATCTTGCGACACAACTGATTATGCGAAAAAGAAGAATCGGAGAAGCGCTTACCCATTGCATGGTTGAAATTGAGGGTTGACAGGAAGTCTTTCAAGATGTGGAGAGCGAAGTGAGACTCTAAAAAACGAAGCGAAGCAGCTAGAAAACGGATGCGCGTTAGCGCAACGGCTTTCGCGCTAGTTGCTCAATCCGTTGCTTGTTCAGTGAAGTCAGAAGTAGTATGGGAGAGGAGAGCGAAGTGATGTTTATGGGGGACAAAAAAGCTCATCCAATGGGCCTTTCCCTTTATATATAGGTATACCATCCCTTACACTTGGTCTGAATCCAAGCCCTTTACCTATATATACTGCGAGTGTTCACACTAGGGGCGGTACCGTAATTACTTGGTTTGTTGCGTTCACACTTGAAGAGTTGGTTAATTACGGTACCGCCCCTAGTGTGAACACTCGCAGTATATAAACAACCTCGTCCTGCTTGAATGGACTTGAATTTATTGACATCAAGCTTTTTAGGGCTTGATTGTTTATGAAATAATTTGTTCAAAATGAGTTATTTTGGTTAACTATAATTAATATTGGAAAAGGTGGTATAGTTAGTTGTTAGTGGAATTTTATGAATGTATTAAAATAATATTTAAAATAAAATGATTAAAATTGATTTGATATAAAAGTAAGAGATAAATGATTGGAAATGATTAGAAATGATAGGTAGTTAAAATTATGTGAGTGGGTGAATAGTGAATTAAAGTTGATGTCATTGATTGGTTTGTATTATTTAATTATATAAATAATATTAAAGATAGTAAAATTGAATTAGAGTTTGAGTATAAGATAAAATTGAGTAAATTAAGCACGCCAATACAGTACTTATCTGCAAGCAATTATGAAAAATCTCAAGTACACNNNAAAAAAAAAAAAAAAAAAAAAAAAAAGAAAAAATTATGGAAAATCTCCACACAACCTCACCTGATCAAACCCTTTGTGCACCGCTTTGTGCACCCCAATCGTATTCATGGGCTCCTCCAAAGCGTCCTCACCGCTTTGTGCGCAGCCGCCAACAATTCCGACGATAGCGACATCAAACGGCATCGTTATTGATCCGTCCAGAGTCAAGGTCAGTGTCCCTGCATTGCACGCGTGTTGATTGAATCGTAAATGCGCGCATCTGTGGTTGTGTAAAACGAAAATATTTGTGTATTGTTGTTATGCTATAGCCGCTGTCACTGTGAATTATGTGGAAGGTTTGCTTGATAATCTGGTTTCACCGTTTAAAATTCATCGAATTTGGAAAGTTGAAATGGTTTATAAGGAGGTGATTTTACCAATTCTCATACTTGAACTCTTTGAATGTGGTGGTATCCAATGTGTACTTAATCTTGCAAACTTCAATTTTAAAATGTGCTAAAAGTGGCTAGATATCTTGAGGTCAATCAAGACTCTTGCTGACAAACATCCTTCACAAAACTTGCTGCTAGTAACACATGGTAAGCTATCGTCATATCTAAACAATAGATACAGCACTCTCAAAGTCGAACTGCAAATGCTATCATTGATATTTAGTCCAATTACTAAAAAAAAAAAAAACCCAACAATCTATTAAATTACACACACCATGTTATTATCAATTTTATATCATTTGTGCTGATGATTACTTTCAGGGGAAGGAGTTGGATCAGCTGTTTCCGGATGTTTGCCAGATTTTATGATATCTGAAGTCGACTATTGTGCGGATTCAGTGCTTTGGGTGAAAATCAGTCGTTTACCGTCTTGGGTTCACCCAAAGGCCTTTCTGGTATTGTATTGCAAAAAGTACCCGAGAATCCTTCTCGAAGCTCCATTTAAAGCGAGCCACACCCACTAGTTCATTTATCTATCTTGAAGCATGATAAGAACAATGACAGCTTCAGGAAGACATTAGGATTTGAATCTTTGTTATTTTAATCTTATGTTCCCTTTAACCTCATATGATCTGTAAACTTATCGTATAATAGAAAATACAACTCTTGAGTCTAGCCTAGTACAGAAAATAATTTTTTATTTTTTATTTTTTTCAGAAAGTTGTGAAACACCCCCATAATATGTTCGTAAATCATAGCGCATTCCATTGCCCTTTTTAGATTCACATATACCTATTGATTGCCCTCTTCAGAGGTTATTTTTAGATAGAGAACAGAGCTCTTTTCGTCGTCGGGCTAGACCAGCCATGAAAACCTAAACGATTTAAACAGCTTTCGGAATTCATTTAAATGCAGCAAGAAAAATACACTGGTGCAATGAATAGGAATCCACTTTCACAGTCATACAATAAAAGAACAGAAAACAGGAATCAAATCAAAGTTCGACCCACTCACGACCAGTCTGAAGGGCTCGGAATGTGATCAAATATGTCGATCGGTGGGAAACCATCGATCAAACAGCTGATGTCTGGGCCCATCACGGGCCCACACGGGTTCTCGAACTCGTTCAGAAAATTAGGCTCTCCAAGCCGAGTGATGATGTCATCTTGGCTCTCGATTGGCAAAGGGAATTCAGGCTGGACTTGCTGTTGCTCGTCAGAGATTATTGTCGGCTTCTTGTCGAGTTGAAAAAGGTTGGGCTCGTAAATGAGTGTGTCCGGGTAAGCAAAAGGCACCATTTTCGCCATCTCTGAGTTGGCTATGATTGATGAGCTGGCCGGTATCGGTTGTTTCTCTGGTGATGAGCTGAACTTGGGGGCCTGCAAAAATTAAAGAAAAACAAATTTATAAGCTGAATTACTACTATCATGTGAAGTTCTTGAAATCATTCTCTCTCTATTTTTTTAAACAAAATAAATAAATAAATAAATGGATGAATGAATGATTTCACTAACCTCTAGAGAGGGAATATCGAGATAGGAGATGGGGGGCTGAGATCGAGCGGCTGTGTTCTTTCGCGGCTTGGCTGAAGATGAAGATGATGATGATGATGATGGGACGGTATTAGGAGTGTTGTGGAGCATTCTAGCTAATCTCTTCTGCCTGCTGCTCCAAAAGTTCTTCACATCGTTGTCTGTTCTTCCAGGCAGATAGGTCGAGATTCTTGCCCATTTGTTCCCAAACTCTGCTTGCAGTTCAATCACTATTCTTTCCTCCTCGGCCGAAAACTTCACCCCACTGCAATACACAAATAATCAGATAAACACAAAGAGAGCATACATTTTTCTTGGCAAAAAAAATATATGTTTCTTCTTTATTTGGGGAAAAAATTGTGAATTTAAGTTGTTTCCAAATTTTGAGGTGCAAGTAGCCCTTTACACCAGAGGACTACAGGTGGGAGTGTGAAAATCACATAGTAACTTTATCTAATCATTGGGAATGTATAATTTCAATTAACTGATCAGTTGTTGATTTCTCACTGAGATATATCTATATCTTAAATTTACAAACAGAAATCAGTCACTGTCAAAAGACTCAAAACTGAAGCATTTTAACATTTTACCTGGCAAGACGTGACAAGTCTGGGTATCGTCAAATCAATTAGTCACACACACACACACACAATCGAGTAAAGATAAGCCAGCCAAACAAAACTTAAAATCTATACAAGACAGCAAAATAAACAAAACTTCAAATTTAAAAACATTAATAAAAAAGGAAGCATTTTTACCCAAAAATCAAAAGAAAAAAGAAGAGTAAAATCAACACATTCAAACACAAGCAGAAGTGCGAAAACAGAGACGCCCACACTAATTCCCCCCAAACAAAATCTCCCCATTTCACCTAAAGACACGAACAAAACACACAACACAGACACAAACACACACAAAAAGGAAGCATTTTTACTTAAAAAGATCGCATTTTTTTCACATTACTCACGTTTTCAAGTCGGGTCGGAGCTTGTTGACCCAACGGAGGCGGCAAGATTTTCCAGTACGACTCAACAGGCCTTTGGATCGAATGGAGCTCCAGTCCCTGGGCCCGTGCTTCCTCACGTGGTTCATCAGAACTTGGTCCTCTTCAGCCTTCCATGGCCCTTTCTTTATCTCCCCCATTTGCGACATTCTTCTTCGACCTTCCATAACTCTCCTTTTCAGGGCGAAAAAAAAAATAAATCAGATGAAGAAATAGCGAAAAAAATGGCGGAAATAAAAGAGAAAAAGGCTGTACTTTTTTTGCAAGTTTCACAAGAGTGATTAGTAGTTCATGCAGGGATTTGATAATCTAGTTGCCAGTGTAATTAATTTTCGAAGTGGGATTCCTATTTGTTTTCTGAAGAAAAAAGGGGGCACAGAGAAGGAATTATGTTGAGTGCGTTCGTGTTGCGAGTGTGTGAGTGACGGTTGAGACGGTTATTGCCATTTGCCACTCTCCCCACTAATTACCCCCTTTTATCCCCAAATTCTTTCAAAATTTCAATTTAGGCCCACGATTTTATGTTTTTTTCTCTAAACGGGCCGAAATATGGGCTGAGAGAGACGTATTCAAAATAAATTATGCCTACTTAATATTGAGGTCCAAGAGTTTGATTTGTTGGTGGGTGAGATGTTCTACAATTGGTTTCTGAACTGGACCGGCCGGCCCAAGGGATCGATCTAGAGGTGGGACCGGTTTGGTGAGCCTTTAGATAGATTGGTTAACAAAACGATCAAAACCACCCAAAATTTTGTTTGTCGGCATTTAAGATATTTTTATTTAAAAAAAAAAAGTTATATAGATATATTATGTGGTCAACTTTCATAACGAGAGAAAATGTTTCAGATGTAAAATTGGCATATAGATTATTTATTCTTATTATTTTTTGTATATTCATAAATAAATATAGTATATATTAAATTTTAAATTTTATAATTAATTATTCATTTTAACAATTAACCCGATAACCCGACAGTTAATCGTTACACTGAGGTCAGCTCATCAATTAGAAGTCAGATTTGAAAACTTTGAATTCTAGTTGTTATGCTATGGATATTTTGTTTTATGATAAATTTCATATTTGGTACCCGAAGTATGCCGGAATATTAGCTTCGGTACCCATGCTTTCACGAGTTTCACTTTCACTACCCGAAGATTAAAAAACGCATCAGGTTTCATACCCGAAGTTAATAACCCGTTAAATCTTAACGAGGGTAAGTAACACACTATCCACTCGGCATTTTGCCCCAATTCTCAAATTCATATTTCACACTCTGATAACTCCCACAAAGATAAATTGTTGCACTCGATCTCATGTAGCAGACAATATATTAAGGAGTAGCTGACAATTGAACAGTGTATTTAGACTCTTTAGAAGCATTCGATGTTAGGTATACGGTAAAAGTTTGGCTTTCAAATTCTAGCAATTCCGTTTTGATCTGACCCTCATGTTTAGTCAAATTACTTATGTTTTACTTTATATAATGGATACAATTAATATTGTGGTTAAAAAATCGTAGTATAGTGATTTTGTTTATTAAATTTGTGAAAGCAATATTTTTTAAATATTTCATTGTATTGAAATAAAAGAGGTTTCCAAATATATAAGAGACCTCAAATCAAATAGGTGTTGATTATCGTATTTTATACAATAATTTCTTTATCATAATTTTCGAGACTAAATCTGTAAAGTTTTCCAATAAAATCCTATATTTTTACAACTATTTTCTCCTCTATCATTCGAATTGTAATTTATAGTGACTTAATAATTAGTACTAAAGTTTTATGAGTTGGTACTTTAATATAAATAGAAATTATATTAATTTAATTAAATAAATCAAACCATGAACAATTGCAAATTAATTAAAAAGTGATATAAAAAATTAGTAAATTCATTTTAATATTATATGGGTTTTGATATTAAAAAAATTAATTTAGTATAGTCATTGGAGTTGGATTATTTAATAATTTCTTTTATTTATTGATTTGATTTCTCACAATTCAAAAACTCAAAAATGTTTCTAAGTATAGAAATAACATTTTCATAAAATATTGATTGATTTTAAGAAGAGTGAAAATAAATTTTGCACTAAATTAAATGAACTTATATTCTATTTATCAATGTTTTAAAATATAGTCCTAATTTATATAGTAAATTTTTTTCGACATGATTTGTCATCATGATTTAGTTACTAAAACATTTCAATGATTAAATTTTTATGTAAACGGATTTGGAAAATGCGGACTGATTTATATTTATTTTGCCTAAATAGTTCGCCCACTATTTCTGTAGAGATTGAGATGTTTTATTATATTACATTTAAGAATTATTATTCACTATATATAAATAATGATTTATAAAAAAAATGAAATGTCAAATAGATTGCGCAATTATTGAGTAGACATATTTTTCCTACTTTATGACCACCAATTCAGGAAAAAAATTTCATAATACAATCAAATTATTAAATCATCTTGGGGGTTTCGTTTTGTATGTTAGTATAACATTGGAAAAGAAAAGGTAAGTAGATAACAAATGGTAATACAGATTGCATTCTTCTAAAATTTGAATACCAAAATAACTAAACCCCGCAATATAGGGTAGCATTTAATGTGATTTACAAAAAAATTAAGAAGTTACTATTTTTGGGTTACATTAAATTTTGGTGGGTTTTTTTCTAGTATTTTTGGTAAATGTTAATTCCTATTATATATATATATATATATATATATATGTAGATATAATATTTAAAAACATGATACTTCTAACCACCATGTATAAGATGGTGGCTCCAATATCAAGCAAGTGGTTGGCTCTATAGCAAAACTAATGAAATTTGATGCACATTTTAACTTCGAGTAGTGAAAGTGAAACTCGTGAAAGGACGGGTACAAAGTTGAAAATTAGGCATACGTGTGTTTGTTAAAGAATATACTCAAACCAAATTAATTCTACTCAAAATTTAACTCAACTTTAACTCAACACCACTATCCTCAATATTATCAATATAATTAAATAATAACAACCAAATATTTTTACACATCATATCAACTTCACTTCACTATTCATCCACTCACATAATTTTAACTAATCATCACATCATATCATATCTCTCCTACTTTTAATCCAAACAAATTTTAATTATTTTATTTTTAATATTATTTTAATATAAACTCAAAATCTCACTAACAACTAACTACACTACTTTTTCTAAATTAATCATAGTCTAACTCAAAAAAATTTATTTTAAGTTAATTCACTCAAATTATTCTTTTAACAAACACAGCCTTAGGACACTTAATGATAAAATTTTACCCTTTTGTTTATTTATTCGAAAAATAAAATGGAAATTGCACGTGCGTACACTCTCGGCACGTGCTCTGCAACCAAAACCCCAAAACCTTCTCCTTGGTCCGCCATTCCTCCTTTGTTCGTATAATCCTTATACTTCTCTTTTACCTCAATTTCTTATCAGAAAAGGAACACAATCAACAGAATAATTAGCTTGGCAATAGCCACACATGAATCGATTGTTGATTCCACTCTTACCTTTTTAGTTTATCTGAACTTGCTGCGGTGTATGTGCAAAAAACGATGCAACGCATGAAGCGAGGTGGGTTTTATGTGAAGGGAAAATGGTCAAATGTTTTGAGATCAGCTTTTAATGGATTGAAGCATGGGCCCACCAGCGCTGCCTCTGACTTCGGGTTCGCTGGGCTTTCGTCTTTGGCGGCAGAAAGATCAGTAATAAGTGAATTCTCCGAAAGGGTATGTCAAAATTTTTCGTTTTGATGGCTGGGTGTAGAGAGCTTGGAAATGTGGTATTTTTTGATTAATTATGTCCTTTTATGTGGCGCACTTAGGCAATTTTGCTTGCAATATGTATTTTTTTTTTGGGGATGGGGGCACATTATTTTTTTTTCATGCTTAGCAGGAGGATTGATTTTTTGCTTATGAGTAGATTTGTGATATCGTGCATATGTAATTGAATCAAATGCTTTTTTGGTGTTCGAGTTAATTATAAGTTGACTGACGAGTAGCTTGTATTTTCTTTAATGTACATATATCGCTTAGTTTCTTCAATGACAGTTACCTTTCCGGCACTGACTAGACGTCATAAGATGACTGGAATAAGTTGAAGTTTACAAACCATATCCATGTTACTTTTTCAACCTAGATGACTTGCCTTTCGATATGTGTTCAATAATAATTCTACATATGCTTTATCCTGTGTTTATGCTTGCTACATGGCTTACTGACTGTATCTGCTCCCAAACTCCCATTGTTGCTTAAGGTGTTTCGTGTATTACGTGGTCCGGGTTACATTTACTAATTACTAAGTATTTTCTTTAACGTTGTTGGATCTTTTTTGATTCACTTAAAAATTACATTTTTTTTACTGAATATGATAAGTAGCTAAATTATTTTATATTGTGAAATCTGGGAAGTAACTATTCTTAAAGGACCGTATGTTATCTATTTGGTTGAAAGAGTACGTGAATGGTTTCTTTGGCTGGATAAATGAGATTCATTTATCAATGTTAACAGGATGAAAGCTAAGAGTCCTTTTAATCTAGCTAAATGATGCATCTGGCAAGTTTTTGCCTGTAGTTCCAATTTGCATTGGAAAGAATGTTGCTTTTTCATCTGTATTATGTCCGCCTAGTTTTGCATGATTAAATAAACCAATACATGTTGTTTGGTTGTTTTTGTACTTAAATCGACTTGATGCTGTTGATTTGGCAGAGTAGCAACCACATTGTACCCCATTTAATGCTAATTTTTGTGACACTATTCAAGAAATATATTGATTTATATTAAATGTAAACCTCTGGTATCCAGATTGTATTGTTTGTATGATAAGATTTTAGTCAAGTCAGGTGGTATGTTAAGCTTACATAGATTTAATTGACGATTGTTTTATTTCTCGGTATTTTCAGGTTGCACGGCAAGTTGGTGGTTAGTAGTTTTTCATTGATAGTCGCAAGTTCCTTTATGAAGGCATTATATGAAAGAAGAGGAATTGGATTTTTTCTTTGTATTTTTTTCTTGGATGATATTTGTTTTTGGTGATAATGTTTGCAGGAAACTCTATCCTACTCAGAAATCAGTGGGCCAGGCAACATGGATTGCTTCATCAGTCTCCATATCAACTTGCTACAAGCGATGGACAGAAATTAAGAAGTCCTTCTTCTATTAGATGCTTTGCATCCAAAACTACAGAGTCAAACAGTAAAAAGGAATCGCAGGTGTGTACCAAAAATACTTGAGTTTTGTGGGTAGTTACTAGTTAGTGCAATATGTAATATGTTTATAACTTTCTAGATGAAGCTGATGTGATATTACTGTTGTACAATTATGTAGTTTGATTATCAAATATGCAAATAATAAAGTTATCTGTTTCTAGAATGACAAAGGGACGTTTTGCACCCGAATCTTGTCGAAATACAGTTTGTATAAGAGGCCAAATGGTCATTTACAACTCAGAAAACTTTCTTGAAATTGTATGCCCTACTAATGTTGCTTTGACACAAGCATCCTTACTTAATGGTATATAAATAAGCCTGTTTGCAACTATGTTTAGTTTCAGCTTCTAATCATGTCTCTTTTGAAATTTTTTGAAGGATGTTACGTCAATACCTTTAAATATGTCACCAGTCAGATTACTTTTGGTTGGAATTCTTTTCATGTTTTTTCATCGTTATTCAGGGTTCGTTGTGTAAGACTTGGCTCTTGCATGTTCTATATAACAATTTATATTATAGAAACAAATGTCACATTGCTATTTGTAATTTTGAAACATAACTGCTTTCTTGTATGGTTTAAGGTATTTTTTTGTAATTAACCTATTCAAACAATCACACGAGAGTTCCAATTGACAGACTCAAAAAGAGATTTCCACTATTGAAGATCCGTTTGACGCTCCAACTTATAATATCCCGCAAAAGCCAGTGACATTCACAGAGGGAGCTTCTTATAGCCTTGTAATTCTTGCTGGTCTTGGCATTGCTGGTGCTGCAGCTTACGGGGTTTTCAAGGAACTTATATTTGAACCCAAGGAGTAAGTCAAGAACTATTCGTTTTATGTCTGAATGACGATTTTCAGAAATTTTCTTCTCTTATTTTCGGTATATTTAACTGACGGTAATTTTCACAGGTACAAAATATTCAGCAAGGCTTTGGATAGGGTCCAGAATGATGGCCAAGTTTGTTCTGCTCAATTTTCGTTTTTATTATTTTGAATATTTTGTAGTGTTATACTGACATTCATAATTGATGTACATGTATGTTTATCTCACTAGGCTGGAAATATATTAATGCCATACAAAATGCACGACCAGCTTAACTTAGGATCTAGTTAAAGGGTTAACTTACAACAACTACATTGACTTTGAGTTTATTCTAATTATGAAAAAAGAATGAAAGTAAACACACCCACTCTCTCTTCGCACTTAGTTGTCTTTGAAAATTACAAGCACACCCTTGAAACTTGTTATTTCCCAAAAGAGGGGGTATTTGTGACATTGTAACCTCATCCTTAAGGTGAAATTTTGAAATTTGGAAGAAACATGGGATGTTCTAGTAGACAAAAGCCACCATAGTGCTTGTTTCGTGTGCATGTAGATTCTTCTACGACTTGGTGTTGAAGATTACTCTCAATTCTTGACTAATAATGTCGGTATTTTTCTTTTGCATTTCCTGAATGATTAAACTTCTTGCTTGCTACAGGTTAAGGTGAGAATCGGATCCCCAATCACGGGCTATGGATCAGAAAGTAGAAACCGTGCTGCTCGTCAACGTATTCCAAATAAAATATGGAAGGACGAAGAGGGAGTTGAGCATATAGTGGTAAGTCAAGTTTATCATGTTTAAAATACCTCAACTTATTTAATTCTCTCAATGAAAATACATTAAGGGAACAAACAAAGAGAGGCTTTTACTGTTCTAAATGCCAACATCTTTCTTTTATTCCACAAAACCACTTAGGTGTTCTGCTTCTATTTTGCTTGCACAAATGAAAAGAACTTTCTACTTATTCCAGCTTTTTGGTTTTTGTTTGTGTTTTTTCCTAAAGTATTTTACTTATAATTCTCAAATACCATTTGCTTTTGTTCAATACATCCTAAATGTTAAAAAAGCTTCAATTTTTCTTTACCATTGCTCCCCAAGTAGCTGAATTTTTTGGAAGTTAACCCTTCAAACATATCCAAATTTAGGGAGTGAAGCAATAAGTGGAATTATTAATTTTATAGGTGAATTTCCACATTCGGGGGCCACATGGCGCGGGAAAAGTCTTCACAGAGATGTTCAAGGACAAAGTCGACAAGCAATGGAAATTTATGTATTTAATTGTTGAAATCACTTCGCCTTCACCAGCTCAGCTGATGCTCGAGTCTTATGTCCCTGCCTGAGGGAATACCTAAATCCTTTTGCGAATATCTGATCCCTCAAGCTTAAAGTTTGTCTGGAGATACTGAGAGATTTCTCCCTTTATTTTGTCTCTTTTTTTCCAGGTTTTGGTTACATTGTATTTGATGGTCAGTTTTTTGTCCAAGGTGGTGGTTGGTTCATTTCTTCACCCATTTTCGACTCTTCTTTGTTGAATTTCTTTATTTATTTAGTCCTCATCAGCACCATTGTATGAATAAGAAACTTTCTTGTGGAGTCGATACACATTATTTCACTTGTATTGAGGAAACGAGATTTTCAGGGATGTGAAGAGGATTTATCGACTTCTCCAACCTTAGACGTTTATACCTGTATGAGATTAGAGATTACTGAGTAAAATAGTTATTCGAGATATCTAGAAAACTATTGAAATTGCAGGTATTTTAAGTTGCTCATAGCCTTGTTAATGAATATATAGTACTTTATAAAGCGTGATTTATGGAAGTGCTTCATAGGTTGTGATATAACTAATTATATTAAGTGACAATATATATATAGAGGATGAATCACATGTGAAAGATGGATAGTGTTAGAAATAAGAATGATATTCTGGACCATTGGATCTATCATATTAATGGATATGATGAAGTCAAAATTTATTAATGGTCAAACTTGCTGTGGCAAAATTATAAATGTGTGACTATACCATGGTCAAATAAATACATCAGAGGGCACTGATGTTATTTCACCAACTCAGTGGGCTCCACTCAAACCACCCCACCAATACCAGCATCCCACGCACTATCCCATCGCAACAAACCTCGCCGGTCCTGACCGGCGTCGCCACCAGAACCGCTGCTGCCACAGTACGTCAACTCCTTCATGAAGCTTCTCTGCCGGCGAGAGACCCCATGCCGACGACAATTATCTGTTCACGAAGTTTCTCTGTCGGGAGGAAGAAACACAACTGAGCTAGCCTGATCTCGTCGTCGGAGTTTAGAAATCGTTTGAATCCGCCGAAAGTTTCGTGGACGAGGAAGAAGAATCGATGGTTGGGGCTCTGGAGGCAACTGGATGGCCGCGTCACAGACGGTGACATGACCGACGGGACGGTGGCGGGTGGAATCGGCGACGCCGACGACGGGCTGGGGGTTGTGAACTGTTATTGGGGATGGGGACTTTTGAAAGAAATTTTGATAAGTTCCAGGGACTTATATGCAATTTCATAACTGTTAATATATTGTAATTTAGTACTTGAGGCAAATATGTAATTTAATACATTCACAATAATAATAAATGAAATGTCTAATAATGTGAAACTAACATACATTAATGTGCAATTCATTAATCAATATTGTGCAGTGTATCGGTCCCTATTGTGCAGTATACTGACCGATCTTATGTCCCAAACCAATTTAAAACTGACCAGAATTAATTAGTTTATTTGATCGGTTAATCAAATAATCTAGAATAACTTGATTAAAATATTATTTATATTACAAAATCATATTTAGTATTATTATAATTTTATCTAGCATTTTATATTTTTTTTTCGGTTGAAAAAATATAAAAAAATAATATTTTTATACAGGTTGGTCGATTCGATTATTTTATAGAATAAAGCTTACGTCATACCGAAATAACTAAAATTTAAATGGTAAAAAGGATTAATTGAACCTACTTATAAAATTCGAATTAAAAACTTAGTTCGACCGACTTTGGTCGGTATAGTGCAATCTAACAGTCACTAATGTGCAACTAGTTTAACACTAATGTGCACTCGAACAAAAAATAATCGAGTTTTTTAATGTAAAAAAACTAAATCGAACTGCAATATAAGAGTTTGAATCGATATCTCATTTTTCGATATTTTGCAATCATCAGGTCATTAAAGTACAATTCATATAACACTATGGTGCACTCCAAGTGCATAGATTTTAAATGGTTTATCACAACCCAAACTAATTTCAAACCGAAATATAAGTTTATTGGATCGATTAACCAATGTTTTCTGTTAACCGAAATAATTGTAATAGTTTATTATTTATATAATAAAAAATATTTTTAGTGTTTTTTTAATATTTAAATTTAATATTTTATATTATTTGTGGTTAAAGAGACATAATATATAAAATACAAAAATTAAAACAAGGGTGGTTGGCACGTCTAGGACAGTACTTGCCGCGAAGGTACTGAGCCCAAAGCGACTTTCCTTCCCTGAAGCGCCACCACAGCTTGTATGAGAAAGCTGTAACAATGTCCCAGAGGTGGCGGATGCCAAGTCCACCCTTGGGGAGGGGGCGACAGATGGAGTCCCACCTCACCCAGTGGGTACGTCTCCCCCTCCCAGAACCGTCCTCGTAACCCCAGAAATAACGAGCCATAATCTGGTCTATCTCGTCAAGAGTAGACCTAGGGGGGTCGAGGACCATAAGCAAGTGAATCGGAAGAGAGCTAAGAGTGCTCTTGATCAGCGCAAGCCGACCACCGAAAGAAAGATGTCTATCCGACCAACCAGAGATCCTGTCGATCATCCTCTGTCTGACGCCCGCAAAGAGCGCTCTCGTGAGATTGCCCTTATATAAAGGGACGCCAAGGTAGGTAATCGGAAGGTCTCCACGCGCAAAGCCAGTAATATCGTGGACCCGCTGAGCCCACCTGGCCGTGCTGGAAGAGGAGAGAGTGAATGTGCTCTTCTGCACACTGACCAGCTGACCGGTAACCGAGCCATAGTGCTCCAAAAGGCGCATGAGCTCGACCAGTCCATCATCATCCGCCCGGGTGAAGATGATGATGTCATCCTCATAAGAGAGGTGAGAGATGGGAGGACCATAGCCACAGGTGCTATACGTCATATGAGGAGAGTCGCAGATGAAACCGTCAAGGCAGCGAGAGAGGTAGTCCGCCGCAAGGATGAAAAGGGAGGGGGAAAGGGGGTCGCCCTGTCTAAGGCCTCTAGAAGAGGGAAAGAAATCGGTGGGGCTGCCATTGACCAGGATCGAGAACGTGCAGTGCTCCACGCACGCCTCGACAAAACTGATACAACGGTCAGGAAATTCCATCCTAGCCAGGGCCTCCATAAGAAACGGCTACTCTACCCTATAATACGCCTTAGCCATATCTAGCTTTAGCGCGATATTCGGAGCCGGCTTCCAATCCGCAAGGGAGATGTCATGGATCATCTCCTGAGCCAAAAGTATGTTATCACTAATGACCCGATCCTTGACGAATCCACTCTGGTTCGGAGAGATGAGGGAGGGGAGAAGAGGGGAAAGACGCCCGTTAAGGATCTTCAAAATGAGCTTGTTGGTCTGTAATCGGACCAAGAGCTCGGATTGGGTCTTTTGGGGATCAAGACGACAGAGGTAGACGTGAAGGAATCCAGCATCCGATGGCCGGAGAAAAAATCCAACATCGCCTCCTCGACGTCAGTCTCGACTAGATCCCAGCAGACCTGATAAAACAGGGAGGAGAAACCATCCGGGCCAGAAACGCTGTTGGGATCAATCCCGAATACAGCATCCCTAACCTCCTCCCTACTCGGGAGCTTACAGAGGCTAATGAGATCGACCGAAGGAGGGATGGTGGGGAAAAGAGAAGCGGTCGGGGCCACAATGGACCCTCTGTTAGAGGTGAAGAGGGTCTGGAAGTGAACAACAGCCGACTCCTGAATCTGAGCCTCCTGGGTCAAAGATGACCCATCAGTCTCGATACTATGTACGACTTTGCACGCTTCTGCCTAACGTAGCCCTGGAAGAACCTAGTGTTCCGTTCGCCCTCGGCCACCCAGCGAACGGCCGCCTTCTGCTTCCAGAAGTCCTCCTCCATAAGGAGTCGGAGCTGGTACTCGGCGTGGTAGCGGTGCATGGCAGTCCTATTCTCCGGAGTGGGGTGCAGGTCATAGGCCCGCTCAGCCGTCGCGTGCGCACTCTGAGCCGCAGCAAGGCGCTGATGAAGGTTTCCAAAAACATCCTAGTTCCACTGTCTCAACCGACGCTGCAGTCTGCCGAGCTTCACCTCGAGATTGCGCATCCCGAAGAGCCCAGTCGGCTGAAGCCAGGAATTCCTGACAGTGTCGTGGAAGGAGTGGTGGCGAACCCACTGTTATTATTATTTTTACCGGAGTAGAATCAAAAGATTCGAACACCGGGTCGTATCTCAAGGAAGGTCAGCCGAATTACTTCGTACGAATATTCAATCACAAAAAGAGAAATTAAATCCTAAACATTCTAATCAGATTAATTTGATTCAATTTATCTACTACGATTTATAAAGATAATCCTAACTATTCAAATCTCACAACTCCGAGCTCAAATTCAGGAAGTAATAAAGAGGCTAGGGTTCGGGGGTAATCACTTCCGGTTCTCAAAAGATTTAATGGGCAATAAATTACTCGGCCGAAGGACTCGAAAAACTAACCATTTAGAGATTCATTCTCAATATCTCACGAAACAAGAGAATAAATATAAACGAGCAATTATCGAACCAATCAGCAGATAGACAATACGTCACCGAACAAGCCTATTCTAAACGAGCCTAGATCGATCGATTTCTCCCCTTTCGGTTTTGAAATCAATTAATTAGATTAAGATGGTGATCAAACATCTAAACCGTAGGTTAAGCACAACTCAAAAAGATGGAGTAATTATCGAGCATATAAACGAGATCAAACCGAAATGACAATCCCCTAACCCTAGCTAGGGAATTTAGCTACTCATAGTGATTCCAACACAAACATTCATATCAAACAAAGCCATACCATTCATCAATGAAATGAAAAAGAAAGCTTACGATAAATACGAATCCAATGTGAAAGAAACACGAGTAGTCCAAATCCAAAAGCTTAATCTTGGTGTTTTCACAATCCAAGATCAAATCCTAGTCAAACTAAGAGAAAAATCTCTTCTGGAGTGAAAAACAATGAGAGAGTTTTTAAAACCTAGGTGAAAAAGATCCTCCAAAACTGAACAAAATCGCAAAACTAAAAAACTGCTGTCGCGACCCCCGCGGCCGCGACTTAGCCTCCCGCGGCCGCCGCGAAGAGAATCTCGCGGCCGCGACCATCCCCGAGGCCGCGAGCTCAACGGGCCAGAAAATCGAATTTTTTGACATCTCGCGGCCGCGACTTCTCCATTTCCGCGGCCGCGGCGAACGTTTTCTGCAAGGCAAATTTTCGGGTTCGTGTTTTCGCATCCGGATTCGGAATTTAATCCCGTCTTCTCCAATACGACCCCAACTCATCCATCTAGACGGTAAACCTCGCATGGCCATGCACCGAGCCACCAAACCTGCACATCACCACCGACAAGAAACACGGAAAACCGAGAAAAACGGACAAAAGGACCAACAAACGACTAAAATAAAGGAAATGCACAAAACGACTCAAAACGGACTAAAAAACAAAGAAAAATACCTAACGAGGGGAAAAACAAGCATA